CCGTCTGGTCTGCCTGTTCTCTTGTAAAAGCTGCTAATACATCAACAGAAAGTGCATATAATTTACATACCAAATGAGTTAGAGGCTAGGAAGCAGTTGATTGCAGACATCAAGGAACTTATTAGCAATGGTTTACATAGTTTTGTTCTCTAATGGCTGTGCAGGCTCATGCCTCCACTTCTCTGGCTTGACGGGGGAGAGAAGTTGTGGGAAAGTGGATGGCTGATTCTGCAAAACTAGAAGCTCAGAGGGGTGGATTTTGAAGAAGGTATGTAAGGTGCTGGGCAAGCTGTGGAGGTACAAGCTGATGTACCATCTGGTTTCTGTCAAAGGAACAGAACCATCAAAGGTTTTGTCCCCCTCAACCCAATTGGGTTTCTCTTTTGTTTTCCTTTGCTCTGAGAAAGTGAATTTACCTTACAATACTTGCTTTAACTAACTGGAAGTTCAGGAAAATAAAAAATAAATCTTTGAAGACTAGTTTTCAGCCATGGAAAACATGGATTTAACTACGAACACTTGTAGGGGAACTGGAATTACAAGGAAAAAGCTCTCTCAATCCTTAACAATCTCTCCACAAAAATAAAAGAGAAACCACGTTATCGTTGGGCAGAATGCACTGAACACCACAGGCAATCCAGTATGAGACTGGAAACGGAGCACAAAGAGGCAGAACAGCAGCAGTGCACCACCCAAACACTCTTAGGTGGCTAAGGAGGTGAACACATCATTTGCATGTTCTCAAGATAAACAGGATGAAAATTAAAATCCTCATGAGCGAGCCAACCTGAAGAAGCTGATGTCTGAGTCCTGGGCTTGCTGTCCGACCTAATTGCTCAGATCAGAGTACCGTGATGATGCATCAAGGACAGAACCTGGAGCAAAATGAGCAGTTACCACGGAGGTAACTACACAGGGGTACATGGACGTATGATTAGCATCTTCACCCCAGTGCTCCCAATGAGCCTGCTCAATAAAGTACCACCCATTTTCCCCTATTTTGTTCATACAAGTGTGACTGGTTAATCCAATAGCACCATCCTTTTATTCTTCAAATATAGGTATATCTCCTCTGTCACAAAACAAGCTTATCTATACACTGAAATCATTATCTGTATGTCTGTCTTGGTTACTTTCTATTGCTGTGATAAAACACTGACCAAAACCAACTTGAAGAAAGAAAGGCTTTATTTCGCCTACAGTCCATCATCAACGGAAGTCAAGGCAGTAACTCAGAGTATGAACCTGGAGCACTTGCTCTCCTAGTGTGTGCTCAGCCTGCTTTTTTATACCATACAGGACCACCTGTCCAGGGGTGGCACTGCCCACAGTGAGCTGGGTTCTCCCATATTACTCAACAATCAAGAAATTATGCCACAGACATGCCCAAAGGCCAATGCAATGGAGACAATGCCTCAGTTGACGTTCTCTCTAACTAGATGTGTCAAGTTGACAACTGAAGCTATCCAGCACACACTCTACTTCAGTAAAACAATGCACAATATTCTTCAAGATGATCTATTTTAAAAGCAGCATCATGGAGGTACATTTTATTTATTATTATTTTAATTAAATAATTTTTATTTTATGTACATGAGTGTTTTGCTTGCATGTATGGAAATTCGCCTCTTGCAAACAATGCGTATGGAGGCCAGAAGAGGGTGTTGGATCCTCTGGAACTGGAATTATAGATAGCTGATAGCTGCCATGTGACAGCTGGGAACTGAACCCAGGTCTTCTGGAAGAGCAGCTTATGTTTTTAACTGATGAGCCATCTCTCCAGCCCCTGGGGGTACATTTTTTTACATAATACTGTGCAATCATGTGGAGGGGGGGCTTACGCACATGCGTGAAAGCCAGAGATTGGCAGTGGGTGTCTTTCTCAATAGTGCTCCACCTGTTTTTTGAGAGAGGTTCTCTCAGAGACCTGGAGCTCAACAGTTTAGTCAGCCTGGCTGTCCAGTAAGCCCCAGGGATCCTCCTGTTTCCACCTCCCAGTTCTTACAAATGCATACTGCAGCACCCAGCTATTTACCTGGGAATCCTAACTCAGGTCCTCATGTTATGGAGCAAACACTTCATCTTCTCAGTCATATCTTCTGCCTTAAAGTACACTCACTTTAAATGCAGTTTTGCTTGGATGACAGACATTTATACTTTCTTAACCACCAGAGTTAGGATATACTCTAACCACAAAAAATTCCCTTGTTTGTATTTGTAGTCAATTTCCATCTTAAACCCCATCACAGACAAACTCAAAAGCCTGCCTTTGGGCTCTATATATTTGTGTGAGCATTCTTAGAAATGGAGACACATAATACATAGTTTTGTCTGTCATATTTTTCTTGGCATGTTGATTTTGAGATTCTACTATGCTGTCACATATGTAAGTAGTGTTAGAAAATGTTTAGATTGGGATTGACCAGGGTGATGTGAGAATGGAAGACTAAAGACTGACCTCAGGAGCAGATTGTTCTTTATTAAGAACAATGAAGGTGGCAACACATTCTCAATGGGATTTGAAACTATGTCTGCTTGGGCAGAGTTGGGGGGCTGCTTATAAGAGTTAGGAGATTGGGAAAGAGGGAGGTGGGTAGGGTTAGTGCCAGTGACATGGTTCAGAGGTTTTGAGACATTAGGGGCTGTTATTTGTTTTCCCAGATAATACAGTCTCTGGGTTAAGGGTTTTATACAATTCCTGGGTTAGATATTAGTTTGGACTTAAGGTTCACTCAACCCAGTATGGGGCCCTTTGGAAGTTAGCTCAGGGCCCTCTTAAGTTCAGGCATTTTTCCTTCAAGTAGTATTTCCCTTGTATTAGTATGTACAATCGTTTATATTGTTAAATTTTATTGATTCAATTGTTGTTGAATGTTTGAGTTTTTTCCAGTTTGAGAAGCTATAAATAAAGTTGATAACAATTTTATGAAATTGAATGGATATATGCTATCATTTCACCTGAATAATTTTAGAGAATTTCTAAATCATAAAAATATGTGTTTAACTGCACAAGGAGTTATCAGTGTGTCCCTCAAAGTGGTTGCAACATTTACTTACCTAACAGTATATGAGAGCTCTGGTCTCCTCACCTGTGCTGGGCACTTTCAAGCTTTTCAGGGGTAGGATGTGAACTTAAATGCTGTAAGAGTGAAACCACTGAGGACAAGTCCGCCTTCGGGTTGCAACAGCAAGAGGTTTATTTAGTACACAGGTGCCTGTGGGCACAAAGTCTCCTCGGAGGACTTGCGCGCCCCCATGCTGGGTTTTTGCACTTTTATAGAGCAGAAGCAGGGTACAGAAGCAGAAGCATGGTTATTGGCCCATTCAAACGAGTATAAAGCATGAGGAAGTTAAGTTGCTAAATTCTGGGTGGGTGACTTATGGTACAGATCTGATTTCCTGGTATCGAGCCCCGGGGATTGCCAGATGCAGATGGCTTGACCACTACGTCCTGTTTTTCTGATAAGCTAGTTTCTCAATGCCTGACTTCTTGTCAGGCATTCCTATCAGGTGGGCTCATGGCGCCTAGGTTTTTTTTCATTCCTCCCTTTTTCTTGGACATATGAGTGGAATCTTTCACTCATCATAACATATCTGGATCCTGAGTCCTCAATGCCTGGTACTGGCTGGTGAGGACTAGTGCCTGAACTACAGACAGCCGATCCTTTACGAATTGGACCAGCCGATTAAGTATGCAGAGCCCCAGGGTTAAGATTAAAAACAAAAGGACTAGAGGACCTGCTAGGGAAGATATCAGAGTGGTAAACCAGGGGGACTGATCGTATAGCCCCTCAAACCAACCTTTTTTGGATTCAAAGTTACGTTTTCTCTCTTCTAGTCTTTCTTTTAATTTGTCTAGGGTCTGTGTCACCACTCCTGTTTGGTCTGCGTAAAAACAACATTCTTCTTTTAGGGCTGCACACAAACCTCCTTGTTTTAGGAACAACAAGTCTAGTCCCCTCCTGTTCTGCAGCACTACCTCAGAGAGAGAAGTCAGGGAGTCTTTTAAGGTTCTTATGGACTCCTCTAGGGCTATTAGGTCTTGGTTCATGGCTTGATGTAAGAGCATGTACTGATCTGAGCGGATTAAAGCAGTCGCTCCTGTCCCAATGCCCGCTGCTATTCCCCCAGCTCCCAATAATACAGCTAAGGTTATGCTCAAAGGCTCTCGCTTGAATCTGACAGGGGTAGGAGTCTCTTCATAATGTTGTAATACATAGCTGTCTTCATGTCAATAGATTCTGGGCCATAACTGTACCAGGACACAAAAATCTTGGGTTAGATTTAGAACAGCGAGAGAGACACAAGGAGTCAGTCCCGTGCTGCATGCCCAGTAGGTGCCATTAGGGGGCACTAGGTATGCGTCGGCCTGGAGGGAAAGGGAGGAGTTATTCTTAAGGCAATGTTTAAATCCAGTGGGCACCTTTCCGATGCAGGTGCCTGTCGAGGTAACCTGAGTCAGGGTGAGCGTGTGGGTGGAAGAGGTGCAGGCGAGGGGGGCAGCAGAGTTCGCGGGTAGTACTGAGAAGTTTTCCTGGACGGCTATGCCCTCGTAGTAAGGGGGGCTCGGGTTCAAACAGAGCCAGCAATTCTTAGATTTATCTGGCTCCGAGTGATTTAATGCCTGGAACGCTCCCCTGACGAGGCTTAGGAGTCTATCACCTGTTCCAGGGTATATGGTGGGAGGCAGGCTGGCAAAGTCATTGGTTTCTGGGATTTGTGAGGGCACCAAAGCAGATGACGGAAGAGAAGCTGGTCGCTGGTTACTGAGGACTGGGTTGGGACCTATAGCCACTGCAGGTGGGGGAGATATCTTTCTTCTAATTGTGAAAAGGAGGCCATCATCTCCCCTTTCCTTGTATAGTCTGATTCCCCAAGTAAATCCTTTGTCCCAATTTAGGGTTGACTTTTTACCTTGTGGGGTGAAATCTACGCGGCAACATGGCCTGGTGTTCAGGAGGGCCGCATCCTCCCCATGGGTCCAGTCCCAGTCTCCCGGGAGGAATTGCCAGGCTGGGTGCCTTTACAGTATCGTGGGTTCCTTCTAAGTCCCAAGGCTCCGGTACTCCTAAGGCTAACTTGCACAAATCTGGATACAATGTGGGCCACCATGTGTCTTTTGGTGCCGTTTTGTGGACTTCAAACACTACAATGCCCATTTGATTAATTACTCGCCAGGTGGTCGGCACAGCTGTATGGGGGCTCCCATTACTGGGAGCAAATTCATAAGTAAATAGATTTACCCAGAGTAACATGATTATCATTTTTCTTTGACCAGTCTTATCTTTAGGGGGTTGGGTGTCCGGGTCAGCCGCCATTGTTCTTGCCCTTCCCTCGAGGGTTCTCGGTGCGCAGGGTCGGCTGCCTTAACATGTGAAGTGTGGATCCAGGCTGCAATTCCATCCACTTTGAGGGCCGTAGGGGTCGTGAGGAGGACGGTGTAGGGTCCTTTCCAGCGGGGCTCTAGGCTCCGAGTCTGGTGTCTCCGGACCCAGACGGTGTCACCGGGCTGAAAGGGATGGGGTGCAATAGGGGTGTTAACAGAATCTTGATAGGTAACTGCTAAAGGTTTCCAGATCTCCTGATGAGCTAACTGTAGTGCTCACAAGTGCGCCTGCAGGGAGGGGGTGTTAGCGAAGTTAGAGATATCCAGATCTAAGAAAGAGACAGCCGGAGGGGGAGCCCCGTACAGGATTTCAAATGGAGTTAACCCACTAGGTCCAGGGGTATTCCTGGCTCGATATAGAGCTAAGGGCAGGAGAGTCACCCAGTCCTTAGTGCCAGTTGCCAGCGAAAATTTAGTTAAAGCCTCCTTAATAGTTCTATTCATTCGTTCTACCTGACCTGAGCTCTGGGGTCTGTAAGCACAATGTAATTTCCATTCGATCTTCCAGATTTCTTCGTGTGCCAGCTGCAACGCTCGCAGGTGCGTCTGCAGGGAAGGGGTGCTAACAAAGTTAGAGATGTCTGGATCAAGAAAAGAGACAGCCGGGGGAGGGGTCCCGTACAGAATTTCAAAGGGGGTTAATCCACTGGGCCCAGGAGTATTCCTGGCCCGATATAGGGCTAGGGGGAGGAGGGTCACCCAGTCCTTAGTGCCAGTTGCCAACGAAAATTTAGTTAAAGCCTCCTTAATAGTTCTATTCATTCGTTCTACCTGGCCTGAGCTCTGGGGTCTGTAAGCACAATGTAATTTCCATTCGATCCCCAGTAACCTGGCCACTGTCTGACTTACCTGGGAGACGAAGGCTGGTCCGTTATCTGACCCTATTACCTGAGGCATCCTGAATCGAGGAAAGATGTCCTCCAGTAGCTTCTTAGACACCATTTTAGCAGTTTCTGTCTTCGTCGGGTACGCCTCTGGCCATCCAGAGAAGGTGTCAATGAAAACTAGCAGATACTTGTATCCATATATTCCTGGCTTAACTTCAGTAAAATCGACTTCCCAATGGACCCCAGGCCTGTGACCTCTTTGCCTCACTCCTCCTTGGGCTTTATTTTTGCCCCAGTTCACCTGGGCACAGGCTTTACAGTTCTTAACAATCTTTTGTAGGATGGCGTCTTTGTTTGGGAGATAATGAATGGTTTCTTCTCGCTCGATTAGTCTTTTCATTTTGGTTACTCCCAAGTGGGTCCACCTGTGAAGTTCATCTAGGAGTCCCTCCACCGATCGCTGAGGCAGGACGGTTTTCCCTTGGTACTCCCAGTATCCTGTTTTTGGGTTGTTGAAAGCTCCAATTTTCTCAAGTAATTTTCTGTCCTCTGGAGTGTAGTCTCTGGTGGCCTCCTGCCTTTTGCGTTCAGTGTCAATTTGCGCGGTTTGTATTTGGCTCTTGGAGGCAATGTCTCTGGCCGTCTGGTCAGCTAGACGATTTCCTCTTGCCTCAGGGTGGTTTCCTTTCTGGTGGCCTGGGCAGTGCATAATGCTGAGCTCTTTTGGTAAGAACAAGGCCTCTAGTAGCGCTATGATCTCAGCTTTGTTTTTTATTTCTTTTCCTCCTTAAGTAAGACGTCCTCTTCTTTTGTAAATCTCTCCGTGGATGTGTGCAGTGGCAACGGCGTATTGGCTATCAGTATACACGTTTAGCTTTTTGCCTTCCGCCAATCGCAGTGCCTGTGTCAGGGCCACCAGCTCAGCTTTTTGTGCGGAAGTCCCCTCTGGTAAGGGTTCTGCCCATATTACTTTGTTGTCCGAGGTGACCGCTGCCCCTGCCCAGCGCTTACCCTCTGCAAGGAAACTGCTCCTGTCCGTGTACCAAGTATAATCTGCCCCCTCTAGTGGTTGATCGCTGAGGTCTGGTCGAGTGCCAAAGACTTCAGCCAGGACCTGAAGACAGTCATGGTCGGCTTGGGAGTCAGGTCCTTCCACCACCGGTAACAGTGTTGCAGGGTTGAGGGTGACGGGGGCTCCAAACTGGATGCGGTCTGTATCTAGGAGCAAAGCCTGGTAATGGGTCACTCGGGCATTCGAGAGCCATCGGTCCAGGGGCTGTTTGATGAGAGACTCGAGAGCGTGGGGGGCCCGGATGTAAAGGGGCTGACCCATAGTCAGCTTGGAAGCATCTTTGACCAGGACTGCCAGGGCAGCCACCATCCTCAGACAAGGTGGCCAGCCGGCAGCCACTGGGTCTAGTTTCTTTGACAAGTAAGCTACGGGGCGTCTCCACGGCCCCAGTTTTTGAGTCAGGACCCCCTTTGCATACCCCAGCTTTTCATCCACGTACAGTTCAAACGGTTTGGTTAGATCAGGCAGGCCAAGAGCCAGTGCTTCCAACAGGGTCTTCTTTATGCTATTGAAGGCCTGTTGGTGGCAGTCTTCCCAAATGAAAGGTTCATCTGTCTTGGTCAGGAGGTACAGGGGGGCTGCCATTTCCGCGAACCCTGGAATCCATAGGCGACAAAACCCGGCAGTCCCCAGAAATTCTCTCACCTGTCTGCGATCACGAGGTGCTGGGATGCCCAAGATGGTTTCCTGGCGAGCTGATGTCAGCCATCTCTGTCCTCCGCTCAGCCGGTATCCCAAGTAGGTTACCTCTTTCTGGCAGAGCTGGGCCTTCTTTGCTGAGGCTCTGTATCCCATCTGTCCCAATTCTTGCAAAAGAGCCTCCGTACCTGCTAGGCACTTCTCCTGTGTCTCTGCCGCCAGCAAGATGTCATCTACATATTGTAACAGAATCAGGTGGGGGTGGAGGGTTTTGAAGGCAGTCAGATCTTGGTGCAGGGCCTCATCAAAGAGGGTGGGGCTGTTCTTAAACCCCTGTGGCAGCCGTGTCCAAGTAAGCTGTCCGGAAATTCCCAGGTCGGAGTCCTTCCATTCGAAGGCAAACAGGGGCTGACTCTGGTGGTGCAGCTTTAGACAGAAGAAGGCATCTTTCAGGTCCAATACAGTGTACCAAGTATGGCTAGGAGACAAGGTGCTCAGCAAGTTATAAGGATTCGGGACCGTGGGGTGGATATCTTCTACCCGCTTATTGATTTCCCTTAAATCCTGTACTGGTCTGTAATCCCCGCTTCCAGGTTTCTTAACAGGCAACAGAGGAGTGTTCCAGGCTGACCGGCAGGGGATTAATATTCCTTGCTCTAGCAGTCTTTTAATATGTGGTCTAATTCCTTGGCGGGCTTCGGCCGTCATAGGATATTGCTTAACAGCCACCGGTGCCGCGGTGGCTTTCAGTTCAATAATTAGGGGTGGCTGATGTGTAGCTAATCCCATTCCTCCTGTCTCTGCCCAAGCGTCTGGGTACTTGGCCAGCCACTGATCTATGCCTGTTTGGACAGGATGGGGATCATGATGCAGTCTATATTCATCTTCTAATTTAAGGGTGAGCACTTGTATAGGTGCTCCTTTAGAATCAGTAATCTTGGCTCCCTTATTTTCAAAATAGATGTGTGCTCCAAGCTTGGTTAAAAGGTCCCGTCCTAGCAGGGGGTAGGGGCAATCTGGTACATGCAGGAAGGTATGAGTCACCGTTCCTGAAGCAAGCTGAACCTCCCTGTTTGTAGTCCAGC